TTTTAAGTTAAGTTCTGGGATACATGTGCAGAACGTGCAGGTTTGTTACATAGGTATACATGTGACGTGGTGGTTTGCTGCACCCATTAACCCATCATCTACATTAGTTATTTCTCCTAATGCCATCCCTTCCCTAACACCCAACCCCCAACAAGCCCTAGTGTGTGACGTTCCCTTCCCTGTGTCCATGTGTTCTCATTGTTCAGCTCCCACTTATGAGGGAGACCATGCAGTGTTTGGTTTTCTGTTCTTCCGTTAGTTTGCTGAGAATGATGGTTTCCAGCTTCATCCATGTCCCTGCAAAGGACATGAACTAATTCTTTTTTATGGCTGCATAGTATTCCATGGTGAATATGTGCCACATTTTCTTTATCCTACTATCATTAATAGGCATTTGGGTTGGTTCCAAGTCTTTGCTATTGTGAACAGTGCCACAATAAACATACATGTGCAGGTACATTTACAGCAAGATAATTTATAATCGTCTGGGTATATACCCAGTAATATGATTGCTGGATCAAATGATATTTCTATTTCTAGATCATTGAGAAATTGCCACACTATCTTTCACAACAGTTGAACTAATTTACACTCCTACCAACAGTGTAAAAGCATTCCTATTTCTCCACATTCAACATCTGTTGTTTCCTGATTTTTTAATGATCACCATTCTAACTGGTGTGAGATTGTATCTCACTGGGGTTTTGATTTGCGTTTTTCTAATGACCAGAGATTATGAGGTTTTTTTCATATGCTTGTTCGCTGCATAAATGTCTTCTTTTGAGATGTGTCTGTTCATATACTTCACCCACTTTTTGACGGGGTTGTTTTATTCTTGTAAACTTGTTCTTTTTAGATTCTGGATATTAGCCTGTGTCAGATGGATAGATGCAAAAATTTTCTCCATTCTGTAGGTTGCCTGTTCACTCTAAGGATGGTTTACTTTGCTGTGCAGAAGCTCTCTAGTTTAATTAGATCCCATTTGTCTGTTTTGGTTTTTGTTGACATTGCTTTTGGTGTTTTAGTTTTGAAGTCTTTGCCCATGTCTATGTCCTGAATGATATTACTTAGGTTGTCTTCTATGGTTTTCATGGTTTTAGGTCTTATTTTTAAGTCTTTAATCCACCTTAATGATGTTGGGAAAACTGAGTAGCCATATGCAGAAGCTGTAACTGGATCCTTTCCTTGCACAATACAGCAGGTTGTTTGACCAGCCTGGCAACACTAAGAAACAGCATTTGCATCCTAGGTTTGCAGATGAGAAAACTGACACTTCCAGAAAATGAACCTCTTATGCAAGATAATAAAGTCAGGGACAGATGTGATTTGATAACTTAAGTTGAAAGACCATAACTCTGTATCTGTACAAAGCAGAGCTGAGAGACCAGGACAATTCAGACACTGAGAATCATAGGAAAAAAATCAAGAGGAGGGAATCATGATAATGAAAAAAAGGACATAAAGTCTATTTATTTACTTATTTTAGATTCGGGGGTACATGTGCTTATTGTTACATGAGTATTACATGTGTAATGGTGGAGACTGAGCTTCTAATGTATCATTGGGATATTGAACATTGTACCTAATAGGTAATTTTTTAACCCTCCCACCCTTTGCCATTTTATAATCCCCAGAGTCTATTATCTTCATCTTTATGTTCATATGTCCCCATTGTTTAGCTCTCAACCTCTATAGAAAACTCAAATAACTCAAAATAGAACTCTATAGATATCACAAAGAACTAAAAATAAAACCACCATTCCACTCAACAATTCCACTTCCACCCAAAGGAAAAGAAATCATTATATTAAAAAGATAGTTGCCACATATGTTTGTCCCTGCACTGTTCACAATAGCAAAGCCGTGGAATCAGCCTAAGTACCCACCAACAGTTGACTGCATAAAGAAAATGATGTGATAAGTATACGTGTATATATGTATTTATGTATACACACACACACATACACACACTCACACACACAGAACATGGAATACTAAATACTATATAACAATAAAAAAGAATAAAGTCCATTTTTTTGCAGTAACATCAATGGAACTGGAGGTCATTATATTCAGTGAAGTAACTCAGATATAGAAAGTTAAATACCATGTGTTCTCACTTATAAATGGGACTTAAACAATGGGTACTATGGACATACAGAGTGGAGTGATGAAAAGTAGAGACTCCAAAAGATAAGAGAATGGGTGGAGGATGAGGTTTGAAAAAATACTTATTGAGTACAATTTCACTATTTAGGTGCTGGGTGCACTAAAACCCCAACTTCACCATGTTGAAGTATATTCGTGTAAGAAATATACAGTTGTACCCCTAGTATATAAAAGTAAAAATTAAAAAATAAAAAATAAAAAACCTGTGTTTAGATGTCTGGTGTTGGAGATATGAGGGAAAAGAATTTAGGTGGATGACTAATTAATGTAATAAAGTTTATTTTAGAATAAAATTTTGAAACATGTTGACATGTAAGCAAACTAAAATATATCTATTGCACAAGATAATAAGTACTACAGGTATTGATCGACTTACGACCTATGCAACTTACGACCATTCGACTTTACGACCACAATCGCTAGCCACGACTGCTCTGCGTCTGGCAGAGCAAACGTTGCCCAGCTGGGCGTACGACAGTGCGGGACAATAAACATATATGCTATAGCATATCATTATTAGTCATTTTCTTGCCTTTCTTACTAAAATGTGAGTGGTTTATATCCCTATATCTTTAACAATATTAGAACATACTAAGTTTAAATTATATTTGAACAAGATATCCAGATGACATCTTTTATGATGAATGCTACATATTTGTATCCCATGGAAAGTCACATAAAACTGTGATGATTTACTTTTCTATTTACAATGATAATAAATAAATACCTGGCAACCAGTCCTTTTTAACCCTAAGACTTAACATAGTTCATACTCTTCTGCTTTTCAAAACTCATCATATGCCGTGGTTTTTTACTTCAAATAGTAGACCACCGTGGTTCAGTGATCTGTGAATATTCACAGTTTTACACAAGGCTGCGCCTTTACCACAAGTTAAGGTGGCTTTTTAAAAATGAGATTTGACAAGAATGTTTTCATAATAAGCATTCAGGTCAACCTTTACTACTGGTAATGCAGTGTTTTACTTAAACCTGACAAATGTAAAAATAAGAAACAAAATGGTGTAGAGATGATACAAATGGCATAAAATGAACAAAGAAAATTATGATATATAACAATAATGAAAGAAAATTATAATAAAATATGACTTAAAGATTTTTATAACATCATTTCTCAGTATTGTACGTACAGCCTACTCAACTTACCAACTTGTGTTACTACCGGTCTGTCGGGACCAATCGTGGTCGTAAGTCGAGCACTAGCTGTACTGGTGTCAAGAAAGTGAACTTGTGACTCTAAACTTATTATACTTATTTGGAATGATTTCAAGAAGAGAAAATTTAATTTGTCAGCTTAAGTACTTGAAAGAGCGACTCATCTAAATTTCTATGCATGAAATTTAAATTGCCTATGAGTTGCATTGCTCAGTGTTTGAATGTGGTACAATTACAGTACTGTCAATTTAAATGTCGGCTAAACCTTAGTGTACCTCAGGCTAACAACAGATGGATCCAAGTTAAAGGTAGATGCAGATAAGTCACTCACATAACTGGTTTCACCATGGTTAATACTATTTTCTGAAAAAGAGTCATCTGTAATGATGAATAACCTGCTCATGTGCTTCCTTGGGTTAGTACATATAAATCAATACCTACTATTAATAGCTACTTGAAACTTGCTATACCAACAGTATTTAAATCTTTATCTCTTGCATTATAGAAAATATACTTCAATCTGCTTACCTTTCTTCATCTCTAATTCACTTTCCTGTGATATATTTTACACACACTAATGTAAACCCATTTTAGGTGTGAAGTTCAAAGTGCTTTGCTAAACGTGCACATTACCAAAGTCTACTTATACAATATTTATATTATCTTAATAAGGCCATTTGCACGGTCAGTTAGAAAAAAACCTAAGCACAAGAAAACCACTGATATGATTACTAACTATCACCAGGGATTAGCTTTGCTAGTTCTTTATTTTCATATAAATGGGATCATCCAGTATGTATTGTGGGTGTAAGTGTTATGCCTTGCTTCTGCCTCCCTGCGCTGTCCCCTGGAATCCCTCTCAAGATAATTACAGGGCTCACACATGTTTATTTTCCAGGAATCAGTATCCCTCATTGTTAAGCATTTTGGAAACTGCTGCTTCATACATTTGGTCTGCTTTTATTTGTTTTAGACAAGAGTGTAAACCTAATCTCTGTTAAGCCTTCTTGACA